AATGATTTTGAGAGGCTTTGTTTTTTTCCTAAAATACGACTGTTGTTCCAAGGAATTAACAAAGCTGACTGAAACATCATAGAGATTATTTTCAAAGAGCTTGAAAGGATTGGGGTTCCCTGCTCTTCAGCTGATGCCACTATGTGGTGCTTGGCCAAGTTGCACCGTCAGACAAAGACTCCCCGGTGCCAGGGCTGTGCCAGTTTGCTGTTGATGGGTTGGTGCAAAAACTTCTCGTGGGGGCGTGTGGGCTGCAGGAGTGGAGTAACGGTCGACAGTGAGTCCTCCTAGGCCTCTTCATGTGGGGATGTTTGGCCGCGAAGCTGGTGCGGTGTTTGCTGCAGATGGTTTCAGAGCCGCCGCTGCGAGCGAGGGAGTTGTGTGAGAGGAGACTCGGTCTGGACAGGCAGAGAAGTGGCCCAATAACACCAGGTCTTGGAGGAATGAGTTTATATGGGAGGATGTTATACTTGCACTAAATCAGTGTTGAGTCCAGATTTTAAAAAGGTATTGAAAGAAAGATTTAAAAAAAAAAATTAAAAAAAAAAATGGAAATCACCTAAAGGGTGGAAAAAATAGCTTTCCAGTAGGGAGCACATAAAGCTTTGGCTGTTCTTGTTCAGTCCATCTTTTAATCTTTTTGATATAAATATAAAAATACCTTTGCAAGAAAGGAATAAGGAGCACTAAGCAGAATCTCAGCCCATCAAAGAAAGTTGTAAAAATGTTTTATATTTGAAATAGAGGCCAGACAAATTGGAAGTATGATGGGTTCCTCTCCTACCTTTTTTTATTTTTGTAACTGTGCAAATGATTAAACGTTGGAACAAACTAACAGGAAATTGGTAGGACAGGTTGTCTCGTGTTTTCAAACTGCCTTTGTTTTAGGAGATGCTAGTGCTGATCCCCTGTGGATAATCAAAAATAAGGGGCAGGAGGCAATATTCATACCATTGCTTCCTAGGCTGCCTCTGTAGGTTATTAGAAGGGAAGATGCTCAAAGAGTGCTACTGAGTGGGGAAAGAGATTATGGGAATCATCCCACAATACTCTTTTGACCACAGAGAAGGCCCCATAGAGCTGTCACTGCACAGGATTCTTGTATATGACGTAGAGGTCCCGTCGGCGACGAATGTCCTCCTGCGGGGAGAGGCTAGCTCTGCGGTTAGCCAAGCTACAAGACAGGAGGCAGCAAACCAAGCGGCTGTTTTCTACTCTGGGTTCATGCTCATACATTCTTTCTTCTCTTGCGCTTTTTTTCTCTTTTTTTTTTTTTTCTTCTCCCTCCCCTGCCTCCTAGCCAATGTAAAATTTCAACAAATCCTTATTGGTAGGGGAGAGTTTTGCGGTCTAATTATGTTTTTTTAGAACTGATTTTTTTATTTTCTCTTACTGTTCAGGCACTGCTATCAATATTCAGGGTAGTTACGTGACCCATTTTAAGTCTTCTCTTTCATTCTAGAATATAGAGAACTAACTTTTCTGAGCTTGCATTTTTTTCTGAGATACTTCTACCACCGTCAGTAAATTGTTTGCTGTATGAATGCAATATGTATTCTCAGTAACTTTTGGAGAGGAGGGGGACAGCTACTCTGAGGTGGAAATCAGCTCAGAAGAGAACTTGGTGATGTGCTTAATAAGCCGCCTAAAAAGTTGTAGTGATTTTATTTTCTTCCTCTTTATAACCCAGAATCTAGGAAGCAATAAATGTAACTGGAATACAGAGGAAGAGTTTTTAAACTACTTTGTTTTTGTGGAAGTGAGAATTCCTTCAGGAAAAAAGAAATTACATTGCGTGTCAGTTTGGCTGCAAATTGATTGATACACGTTTGGGGGTTTGGAGGCACCTTTAGGTTTCCAGTTGACATTAACGGAGCACTGAAAAGTTCCTTCTCAACGATTCTATTTAAACTTGGAAGTATGAATTGGTTCTGAGCATCAGTAGTTTGAAATGTAAAGGGAGATATTAGGAAGAATTGAAGCCAAACTTCCTGAAAATAGCATGGATAAGCATGAGAGAAATTACTGAAAATATGATAAAATAACCCTTTCTTACAGGTAATGATGGGTGCCACCGGTAAAGGCATACGTCTAGGAATGTGAGCTGCTTTGTGTGCAAGTGTACTGGCAGTTCTGTGGCTGCAGGTATTATTTTGAGATGTTTGGAAATAAAGCGTGTACCAACAAGACACTTTCTCTCCTTCATATTGTTATATTGCTCCATGGTTTTTAAAGAAAAACTACTACCAAAAAACCCAAAAAGCTACAGACATGTTCTGAGTCCATAATAGGACAGTTTCTGTGAAACATGCAGGTCTGTGTTGTGGCTTTGACACCGTTAGTAATAGCTACACCTCTATTTGCATTTGATCCATCTTGGTTTTAATGAGCTGGCCACCTGGGAAGCAGCTGGTCTAGGACTAGCTACGGACAGGGAAGTGGAGCAGAAGAACTATTAACACCCTTTACTGTGCCCTCCATTTCCATTGGATTGGAAGAATAAAGCAAATATGGCGAGCCTATGCTTGAAGGTATTCAGTATCGCCTTCTCACTCCGAATATCAGGATAGCTCTCCAGGAATCTGGAAGAGTATGTATACAGCTCTTCAGTAGCGCCTAATAACTTTGTGGTTTTAGTAAACTGAAAATGAGCGATGGGGAAGATGAGGGATGCTTTAGCATCCTTGCCCGGCTCCTGTTGGAAGCCAGCACTAACCCAGTTCTCTTGCAGTGATAGTTGTACTAGGCAAAGGTGGAACAGGAATACATAGCCATCAATATGTAGCCGAATGAAAAATTATCTAAATCCTGAATTTTTGGAGCTGATTGTAATAGTTACCGTCAGCTGTCACAGCAGAATTGCACAGTTTGTTCCGTTCTAATAAAAACCATAAATAAATATTTATAACCTATATAAATAATATATAACTGTTAGCTATATACTTGCACAGTGCTGGGGCTGTGAGTAATACTGAAGTGGCACGTTAGAGCTAGCGTGGCAGAGCAAGGTGACAGGCAGAGAATTAAAAACGGAGTCCAAAGAGCAGATAACTTGTTTCTGAACAGCCATAGCTTCTGTCCAGTCTGGTTTGGGTTCATTTCTGCATGTTTGTGCATGTTCCTGTTTGTGCGTGTATTATGCTTATCTAAATGTCTGCGTATGAGGTTTCGGGGGGAGGAGGAGTAACGGCAGCAGGAAGAAGCCTGGCAGTAGAAGTGCGGCCCTGGGGGAAGCAGGGGCAAGATGTGGCCCCTGTCCTCAGGGAGTTACTCAATGCCGCGGGCTGGGGTCTCCCGGGTGTCGGGGGGGCTCGGGATGG